ACGCAAACGCACAGCCACAACCCTTTCCTTTGAGGCCGCTGCAGCACACAACCCGTGGACTCTTAAGGGAATGATGTACGCCAGCCGCAGTAAACCTAGTGTAAAAGAGTGTGAACTGGTTTATGGTCTGATGTCATTAACTTTCAGTGGATGTAACAGATCCATACGGTGAACCTGTGTCTGTCTAAAGACACGTCAGCTGCTATAAAACCTAAACTCACTCATCCATGCACTCCAGCGTGCCTCAGGATGCATAAACACAAACACAACCACAAACTGAAGGACTGTATCTGAAAAGTCTGGGGGGTTTTCGTCCTCTCATCAACGTTTGTGCTCCAAGCTCCACCCCCGTCTGACCGCACCGACAGACCGCTCCGTTTCATGAAGCAACACTCTCTGATTGTCCCCCAAGTGTCACTGGGATCTTTGCTGCTGCTTCACCGACAAAAGCATGAATGCGTTTTACTCACAAGACTGCGAGCGACGATATTCTTCTGAGAAGCAGAGATGAGATACTTCATGATCTGAAAGTGAAATGTTAAACTCTCCGTTAGTGGAGGAGGCCCCAAGCTGCGAGATATAAGAAAGCACAGAGCACAAATTGAACTCATAGACTCCTTCCTTTAGATTACGACATACAATGTTGTGAAAAAGTATTTGCCTTCATTATAGATTTCTTCACTTTTTGCTTTTTTGTCGTACTTGATATGTTTTGATCACTAAACCACTTTTAATAATGCCTCAAGATAAAATGTGCAAATATGAATCACAGTGCTCACATTTGAAAAAGTAATGGCTTTCTAAACTGATTCCCTGGCAGCAGTCAGGAACCAATTAGAAACTTATTGATAGCTGGTTGTGAGCCTTTTTTCATTACTTGGATTATTGTTGCCCCACTCTTCTTTGCAGAATTGTTACAATTGGATGTCTGTTTCAAGTCGTCCTTCAGCATCTCAGTGCAGTGTCTGCACATCCTTAAAAAGTCTTAAGTTGATGTAACCATCTAAAATGAAGGCCTTAAAAAGTCTTAAATTCATTTTAAAAATGTAGGCTGGCCTTAAATATGTAAACTGCAGGTCTTAAATTATTTAAAGTTTCCTATGTTTTTGTTTTTCTCAGGACTTTTTTTATCAGGCATCATCATTGTGTTCTGTGACTCGAGAGGGTTGAGGCTACTATCAACCAGCTACTAATATACTCTTACTAGCTAGTTAGCTTTGCTGCTTCCATCATGGGTAAGTGGAAATTTAGTGCCATTTAATTGTTGAATTTGACTATAAATTTGAATTCATAGTTGCGTTAGTCATGGACCGTCGGACCACCCCAGACCATTGCACTAGCACCGTGTTTGACTAGCAATCCATCAAGGTGTGATGGGATGACACTTAAGATCTCATTGCCTTTTTCATGTTGTTATGGAGGTTCTATTCAAGTGATTTATACAGTTTCTTGATAAATTCAACTCTGCAGCTCTGGCAGTAATCAGACTCGAGTGTTAAACCAAAAACAAATGATTTATTTCGTTGAGATTTAATATAGGTTGCAATTATATTTTTGGTCTTGGGTAGCTTCCGTCCTCAATAAATGCTCTCTATGGTTTCTTTTGTCTGTGACTAAAAATTATTTAATGTTCCCAAATATTTAGGGATGCAAAAACAAATCGGTTTTGTGAGGGTGCAAATACTTTTTCACGGCTTTGTAAAATTGTCATTACCTTTAATATCCTGAACTTTCCTGAGCATCTTGTTCTAAGTTAACTGTCTTATGTCATTTAGAGCAAATAGCCCCTTCTGGACCTAGGGTAAGCCAGCCTGCGATTGATTTTGCTGCCTAAATGTGGACCTACTTAAATCTCTGATTGTATCCGTGCCTGTTTCCACTGATAGCCCAAACTTCACTCCCTTGAAGCCGCTGTAGACGACTTCTGGGAGAACCTATCACTCCTGTAAAGGGATTCAACTTGAACTGATGAAATTGATGGAACTTAACTCCAGAAATCAAATTGCAGACAGATCATATAGCTTACTTCAGATGAAATGCCTGATGATAAAGTAGGTAAACGTATAAAAGAACTGATATGATGTGATGTGAATATCTTGGCACACTGGAAGTTTGACAATAAGAATCAGATAAAAATCACACGATGAGACACTATATCACTGCACTGAACCTGGACTTGATTGTTTAATGCCTACCTATAAACACACACAGGCTTGATACATATGTATCTACTGAAAAATATATTGCTGTATTATGAAATATTATATCAATAAACAGCTAGTGTTTGCATTTATAGTTTCAAATGTTTTCATTTATTCGTGAGCCATTCTTTCTCTTGTTGCAATTATGAAACCCTTCAAAGTCCGCAGCTGCAAAAAAGATTTAAAGCACTGAAAGCTCTAACATGACAAAGACAACTCCCTACGAAGAAAAATAAAGAGCTTTAAAATGCCACAATTTAATCATTGAGAAACTTTTTGAGCTGACTGCTTCAGTGCCTTAGAGGAGAATTCATAGGCCACAATTTCTGTTTTTGGATTTCATCACATGCACATAAACTTCCAAGTATTTCGTTAGGCTTTTATGTTATTGGACAACAAGAGTTGGTGAAGTGGAAGGGACATTTTTGACTATTTTCAACACTTTTCTCAACAGAAAAAATCTCAAAACTCTGAAGCATCGTGTGTGGTTTACACCGACTCCCCTAAAAAAGGCATTGTTTTCAATACAAAAAAAAAAACATAAAATATGTATTTATGATATATGTAAGTATTTGAATGATAAGTATCATTGTATAATCAGCTTAAAAATGACAATTTGCAACAGCTGCATTACTCTCAATGATCTTGGCTTAAACGATGAAGGGAACTTGAACTATAATCCTGCAGGACACACTCAGCTGGAGGGGAATAGAAACTGAACGTTTCTATGCACAGTTATCCATGAGAAACATTATTCTAAAAGTTTCATAGACACAACCCAGTACAGTAATAGCTTTTTCAATGTAACCAATTAGTGAAATTTAACCCGATAACAAAGCTTTGAACAGTATTTGCCCTGCAAATTAATCAAAAATAAGGCTGATGTTGTATATTCTAAATAGCCACTAGGTGGCAGCATGTCTTTACTAAACTACTGTTTGGACATAGAGTCACTTTTTTAAAACCAGCTACTTACTGATCAATAACCTCACTCAATATGTACCTGACTGCTTGTCAAAGAATGGGAACTTTCAATGTCTGAGGATGAGATCAACCTATGTGTAAATTCTGGCCTGTTTTTTTTTTTTTTTTTTTTTTCTTGCATTGAAGTTTGCATTTTCTCCCTGCGCATATGTGGGTCCATCTTTCCATAGTCCACCAAGATGTCATTTGGTTAATTGTTTTCTAAATTTTACGTAGAAATACGTGCGTACAATGTTGTTTGTGTGTTGGACAGGGCAACACATTTACAGGACAACCTGTCCAAGGTAGCTGCAAAAGTTCACGTTGCACACTTTCAAAAGGACATTTTTTAAGTAGGCTGAAAAAAAAAATCAAGGAAATTCAATCAAGTCAACAGTATCAAACACACTCAACCATTCAGTTTGATTTCAATGGCTACAATTCGTGCCCAGACCCAGTCATGTGCCGTCTGATCACAGACCTTAGCAGCTGCAGCCTCCACCTCCAGATACAGTAAATCAACTGCTGTGAACATCTGATATGCGACTTTGCCATGTGGTGTTGATTTTGTGGAAGAGGGGGAGCATAAACAGGCAGCGGTGAGTTATTGTGGGAATTTTTTATTTTTTTTTTGTAGGGGAGTAAAAACTATTTTCTATTGCAAAAGTTTCCGCAGAAGGATAAGAGACAATGTGAACCTGCAGAACAAAAAGTCCCACATCAGCAGTAACCTCAGGCTGAACTTCTAAAATGGAAACATCTGAGTAATACAATCGTATGAAAGGTAATTATGTGTGACTGTCTGCAGCTATCCATCTCTATTTGTCAGAAATTAATAACTGGTTTGCTTCGTAGCACCGGTGCAGCACGCACTGCAAGTCTTATGTTGCAGAAGTCAACAACTCTGTGAGTGAAATTTGTTTGCAGCAAAGCTGACAGAAGTAGCAGTTTCACACTTTGGCACAAATGCAGAAAAGTAAACAACCTCTTACAGCTCTGTTAGACTTGTCCTGATCTGCCAATGCATGTGCAGAAAAGTGCCAAATATCTTCTGGCTGCAACTAATCATCATCGCCCCCTTGGAGCTGCTGTTTCTGGCCTGCGGTGGGGCGGTCTTCCAATTCAAGAAGCTTTCAGTCTGATAAATTAAAGCTACTGTAGGCCTGAGGAAGGCGCCGCTGCTGCTGCTGCAATGTGGGAATGATTAGTCTGCTGGGGAAAATTAACTACAGCATTTACTCAATATCTGTCCAGTGTTGGTTCTTAGCTGCAACCTGCAGTTCCATGTAAGAACAGGATTATGTGGTTATTGGTAACCACTGCTCGAAAGTGCAGCTCCTATGTAAACATTAAATATTCTCCTTCTGCTTTTCATTTTTGTTTTTATCCTTATGAAGGAAGAACAAAAGTGTAATTAAAATCTGAAGACAAATCCAACTAACTTCAATTATATTTAGAGCGTGCTTTGATATATTTGATATTATACCGACAATACATTTTACAGCTAATTGTGGATTTATATTAACAGATTACAGGTTTTACACAATTCATCAAAAACACTCTTATTGATGCATTTATTAGAAATAAAACTGAATTTAAAAATATATCTATGTATGAAAGATACAATTCCCAAAGTCCAATAACTCCCATCAATCCTCTTGATATTAAAACATAGTTTTAATTTATTTCACGGTTTAAAGCAGGGTTTAATAAAAGAGCCTTCAAAATATCTGTAATCAAAACGGCGCTAATGCAGAAATCATTAATCAAAAGAAAAGTTAGAACGGGAACACAAACGTCACCCTTTTCAGAAAACAGGCAGCGAAAAGAACCAATCCGGTGTCTGTCCGTGTTTTGTACCAGCCAATCAGCGTCCTGAATTCACTGTATGCGGAAGTTGCTACGTTTCACACTGCTCAGTGCAATTTGGAGCTTTCCGCGTTGGAAAAAATGCCCCGATAGCTATCAGTAAAACCACTAGAGCAGGTTTTATTAATGCCGTTTTCTGGTATAAATACATTTAACATTGTTAGCTGTTCCAAAATGACGTCTTAATGACAGTAGTATTCACGTGTTAGCCTCATGGCTGACTCTGTGACCGTGTGTAGCCGGGACTTCATGTCCGCTTCAAGCGGCTGAGGTGAAGCTGGGCGACCGCTGAAAGGGGCGCTGGCAGTGGGGACGAGCGGCAGGGATGGAGCCAGCAAAGCGGCTCCGGACGGCGGAGGAAGCGGGAGGAGAAGTGAGAGGAAACGGAGGAGGAGAGCAGCCAGAGGCGGAGAGGAGGATGACCGCGGATGTGGTGGGTGATGGACGCCATGAAAATGAATTAAAAAGCAAACGTTTCCGAGCCCCTTTTGTGAAATTGCGTCAAAACAGACGACATTTAAAAACACTCACTGAACACCCTCTTATTTCATTTGCACCGATGCCCTTTGTTGGCGTTTTCCTCTGGTTGCCACAGACAAGCATTTGCACTGTCTCCATTTCCTCTCTCCTGCAGAGCATCATCATGCCGGTGCACAACGCCTCGTGCTGGCTGGAGGAATGTCTGCAGGCCATAATGCACCAAGACTTCACCGGCTCCATGGAGCTCTCCGCGTTTGACGATGCAAGCACAGTATGGTGGTTTGTTCTTCTGCATGTTTGTGCGTCTGAAGTTGTGATGTGAAGCCGGCCACATGTTATTTGTCCCTGTGCATGCTGCTCAGGATGACTCCAGGAAGGTGCTGGAGGGCTGGAGGCAGAGGATGGAGGATCGGGGAATCTCAGTGGTGATCTCAGGTCACAGTTCTTCCCAACCCGGAGGAGGTCAGCTCGCCTACCCATCGATTGTGTGTTTGAGCTGGAACGTAGACTCTGTTTAACAGGACACATGGCTTAGAGCTGCCTTTGGGTTCAGTTTTGGATTTTCACCATCATACCAGACGGTTCACATCTCATTTCGATCTGTTACCATAGTAACTGATGCTGGAAACCTAACCTGTTCTGGTCTGAAGAGGGCTAGGGTTTCTGGCATTTAGAGATGTCTTGGTGCACTTTAAATTAGACAAAATTAACTAAAAATCACTTTTCAGCAGGATATAGGAGCTTGTTTTAAGGCAATAACTCCTTAATCTCAATTAAAAAGTTCTAGTTCCATTGGCAGGTTATTTAACTAACAACAAGACAGTTTTTCCATGTTATAAGTGAAATAATCTGACTGGAAGAAGTAATTTTTCATCAATACTAAGGAATTACTGACTTAAAACAAGCTCCTGTTTCTTGCTGAAATGTTATTTGTAAGTCATGTTTGTTTTATTTCAAGTGTCCTAAGATATTTTCACTAGAAAGTAGAAAAAAAAACACTTGATAAGATTTAGTGTTTTTGCAGTGAAGCACTTTTTCAACCAATCAGTGCTTTGAGAAAGTATATCTGCTTCACTCCAGAACTGTTTACATTATTTTCAGTAAGGTCGCTAAAATGAGAAGGTCACTCTTAATTTAAATTCACCTTGTGAACAAATAATTTTGTGACTGACTACATGTCTTTGTATCTGTTGCTGTTTTTTTTTTTTTTTTTGCAATTTAAGTTTCTTTTTTTTTTAAGTAATAATTGTAATTTTTTTCTGTGTTTGTATTTTGGTGAGTCCATACACAGAAACATGCTGTTATTTTGTCTTCCAGTGGGATTTGCAAAGAATAAGGCAGTGGCTCAGAGTAGTGGACGGTACTTGTGTTTTCAGGATGCGGTAGGTGAGCTTCAGCTGTCCTTTTAATGATGCACCAAAATAATAAGGACTGATTATTTTATTTAAATATACATACATAAAGCACAATTTTCAGCTATCCTCTTCAGGTTTGGCAGACCTGTCATCACACAAACTTTATAAAAGTGAAAGTATTGACATCCCACGATAGGTTCATGTGTGAAATACACTTGTTTCTTGGTACATTTTTCTATGGTTACGAATCTAAAAGCTTATCTGACTAAAGTATGTATCGATAGAAGAGTATGATACTGTGAAGGTCATTACAGCTGCAGTCACAACATGGCTTTTGTTTTTAGTTCTGCTTTACTTTTGAAACAGATAGCTACTTTGTCTATTTTTGTGATGCATGTGTTTTGAAAAGGAAAGGTCATTTTCACAGACACTGACCTGTCTTCTGTGCAAAACCCAAAGGCCTTTGTGTGAGAATGCAACATAAAGCAAATGTGACAATGTTTTGAAGGTTTACCAGATTGCATTCACATGAACTGCAGGGAAAGGTTTGAGGTTGCAGTTGTTTTAAAGTGGCAGACTTCTTGTCTTGGCCCCCGCTCTGACCAGTCAGCAGCTGTGAAACGAATCTTTGTTTTAACAACTTAAAGCTGTTTGCTATCTCCTGCTGATAACTTCCAAACAGAACCTCGCTTTAAAATGCTAAAAAAGTAAGACTTGAAGGCACAAGCAGCAAGTTAAAAGTCTTAGTTTACGTTTTACTCCTCTACCTATACTTTAATATTTTAACTCATCCTTTGCTTTAATTTTTCCTCCCTCATTTTTACTGTATGATAATTATTTAGTGAGTTTGATTGACCAAGCGTCTGTATTAAGCCAAGTCTATCCCAACAAGCTGCCCTTTGAGCTTCGTTAAAGTTTTTTACTTTAGACTCTTTAGATAGACTGTGAACACATGTTCTCTGTTAATAAAAGATTTTAACAGTAAAAAAACAAAAAAAAACAAACAGATGTCAGGTTTCATGTGCCAAACATGACAGAGACCATCCTGGCTTGTTCTTAGGAAAAAATTTAAAAGACAATCTTTGTGATAATCTTGGGAACGGTCATGGGAAAACCTGAGTGCAACCCGAGATTCAATCTGTTATTGAACCACGTTTAGCAGCAATAACTTTTGTGTGACCTTATCAGCCTCGCATCATGTGGGAGAAATTTTTGGCCCACCCTTATTTGCAACCTTTCTTCAGTACGTTGAGGTACGCAGACACAGATATCTCCTAAGGTCCCGCCACAGGTTAAAGTCTGGACTTTGACTGGACCGTTGCAACGCCTCGATTCTTACACATTCACTGATGATGAGTTATTTTAACTACATCTGAGTGCCAGCCCATGCTTACTGTCTTTTTCATTTACATCCTGTGAAAGCAGCAGCGTTGCACTTTTTTTCCCCCGGACTGAATCCATCAGTGCCATTTTGTATGCGTGCAGCATCGATGGATACCAGAATAATATCTGTGCCGGTGCTGAGTTTGAAAATTGTTTGCATTTCATGATGACGAGAATCACAGAATGACTAAACATGACAAACTGTTTCACAGTGTTTACGGAGTGGAAAAGCTTGCAACAGCAGAGCGATTTATATTTGAGAAAGTGTGACTGCTCACATTGTCTCTCGCTCTCTCAATGCCTTTTTCTGTGTTTTTGTTTTGAAGTATTAGATTCACTTTACACACCATACATTTTCAAATTTGGTCGCCTGTTTCATTCTAGAAAGTCTCTGAAACATGATTTGAGTATATTTTCTCATCCAATTAAGAGATATTGCGTGTTTATGAATGTTTACTCTGGTTATGTGTTTTTTTTCTGCCCTAGGATGACATTATGTTGCCCCAGAGAGTCCGTTTGCAGTATGAAACATCTATCCTCCATCCAAACTCGGTAAGTGTTTTTTTTTTTTTTTACTGTCATTGCTTAGTCACTTCCTTCTCTTTTTTTCAACTTTGCTCAACCCCGCTTCCCTTCTTTCTTTTCACTTCTCCTCGGTTCTTTCCTTTTCTCTGAATCTGTTGAAATAAAAGAAAAAAATCTTCATTGGGGCGCATGTTTCCGTGGGTTAGGGGCAGTTGGCACGTGGAACAGTGAGAGTATCCGGTGTTGACGCTTTCTTTGACACGCCAGGTCGGAGGTCAAAGGTTGTGTGTGTGAGGGGAAATGAGTGAGACGGCATGGAGACAGCAGGCCCGCTCCCCTGTACAAACGCCCTGACCTTTGTGACTCACTGTAATTTTTAAGCTCTGTCAAAAACATGTAGATGAGAAAAGATTTGCACGTGGTTGGAGAAGACAAATGACCTTTTATTGTTCAATCTGACATCAGATAAAATGTTTCTGCCCCAGAATTATTAGCAAAAAATAAGAAAAAATTAAGTTTTTTTTAATTTTTTATTTAAAGACAGTGTTATTTAGTGCAATCGACTTGCAATCCGAACGTTGCGAGTTCGATTCCAGCTTCCTCCTGCCACATATTGATGTGCTTTTCATGTGTAGTGATCTGCCGTCAGACAATAAAACAAACGGTGTATAAAAATATCTGCTTTTAACTTAATACTATAATTTATCTTGACTCACTCATGTTCAAATGTCTTCTTTACTGCTTTTTTCTCCTTGGTTTCCAGCAAAACAGAAACTAACAAGAATGTCTTTTCTTCTGGTCACTGTTTGAGCATCAATTTCTTATATGAAAAAAAACATATAGAAAAAAGAAGTATCTCACAATTTCAAGCCTTGCACACCATGTTTTTGCTTTCCTGTGCAGTTAAACATGCACCAGACACGCTGTCAAAGCAAACGTATTCATTGCTCGTATGATGGTGTGCGTGTGTGTTTTCATAATAGCTGATTGGCTGTAGAGTCCAGCGGCTGCCGGAGGGATCTACGGAGCGATACGCCCGCTGGATCAACTCGCTGACTCGGGATCAGCTCCTCACTCAGGTAAACAAACGCAGCTCGTCTGTTTCAGCGCTTGTGTTTCGTGCGCGGGTGAGAGGTCGCATGTCAGGCAGCTACTAGGTCGGGTAGAAACAGGATACATACGTGTTGCTCACAGTTTGTACGGAAACGTGGCAGAGGAGCGGAGGGCGGAGGCAGCGTCGCCGCTGCCCTCAGAGCCCATCAAAGCTTCAGCAGGGGAAACAGGTCACACTGTCAACCGAGAGGGGGGGATGTTGACCGAAGCTGTTGCCAGTGGAAAAAATGATTTTACTGGCAAAGAAATGGTGTTTATTCTGTGGAGACTTTCTGCTCCAACTGATCCTCCAGCAGACGTTCAACACGTTTTGGTCTGTACAGCTAGCTTTAGACTAACACTACAACATACATGGAAGATCTACTGTAAATAGATTAATATAATTGAAAATCAGTAATTTAACAAATATATTGATTGTTGTTTGGGGTTCTGCAGGGCCTGGAAATGAACCTTATTTCATTTGATTTGCACAGTTATGTATGTTCCCATTTTTAAGGCCTGAAACAGACAGTTTCAGTTTTCTTAATTCAAAATATACTTTATAAATAAACAAAAAACATGCACATAAAGTTTACTATTACCTTCACTAATGATATAATGTAATCTTACTTACAAAACATTTCTCTTTTGCATAATGATTACCGTTTTGTTTCTGTATTTCAGATTTTTATCACATTCATCAATATGTTCATGGTATCTAAATGCATTGCATGGTCAATGGCTACTGGCACTTCACTTGTAGTAAGAAAATACAATTGTAGGTGGTTTACAAAAATAATCGCAGTCATATTTTTAAAACCTAAATAATTAGGTGTTACTGCAATGCATAAAATCAACAGCATAAAGCCACACTGCATAGCATGTGCCAAATAGACTTTCTGACAATCTCAAATCTGTTCAACATTTTTTTTTTATCTTTCACAATCTAGGCTCATCCAATATCTGAAAAGAGCGAACGTCTTTTTAAATCAGGCTTTTAGTAAATACTTTTGGTTTGCTCGAGTCTTTCACACATTTTCTGGGGAACCGGTGATATGGTGAGGGGGGAGGGGGGAGTATTTCTATTTATATTGAAAGGAGAGCTCGCCAATTCTGAGCTAAACACACCATTGCCAAGGATACAGAACGACCTGGACTCAGTTTCTGTAACATGCGTGCACATTGTTACCGTCTGCATAAGCACTCAGCAGACATTCCAGGATATTTGTATGATATTAGGTTTCATGGAGCATGAGAGTGAGATCATGCACTGGTTCTGAAGGTGGCGAGCCACTCCTTCTCTTTCCCCTGCCTTCGACTACAAGACTTTACTTTTACTTTGGGTATAATTTGTGTATAAACAGAAAGAGCTTAGTAAATTAAACCACAAAATCTAGTGCTGTTCCCCATATTTAACTTTATATATGATGAGTCAGAAGCGCCCCTACCCTCTGATTAGTCACAGTCAGCCTCCTGCGCCTGCTGGTTTCCCAGAACTCATTCTTATTCCTCTTATTCATTATTTGGCCACAGCTTACATGTTCAAAATGTTGCAATATTACAACAGGCAGGCAAAAAGACGCACGGTGATGGACACATACACACACTTCCCAGATAAGATTCAGTCCAGCTGTTGTAATAGGCTGAAACCAGATGTTTGGCACAATTTTCTACATCTGTGAAACATTTCTGGCTGGGAGTAGTAGTTCATTCTATTGTGAAAATGTAATGTGTGCATACGCACGTGCATTTACAGGCATGCTGTGTGAAATATAGTCAGGTTCATGAGGTAGAAACTGTTACCAAACAAAGAGGAAAGGGTAAACAAGACGAGGTGCTTGGAGGGCAGTGGATTGTCAGGGGGGATTCATGTTTTAAATCAGAAAAAGTACTGAGGTTGGGTTGAATTCAGGAGTGCGAGAGAATAGAGGAGAAGCAAAAAGAGTCGGAGATCATCTGTGAGGAGGCGATTGTGAATGTTTTTCCTTCTAAACTGGAAAAACATAGAAGGAAAAAAAAAAACATCCAACTTTTTGAAATTGCATCCAGCCTGCAATTTTTATTATTGCAGGTTTGCAATGATAAAAAAAATTTACTGAACAATATATTATTCCAAAAAGTAGCGCGATAAAAATAATATTTTTATTTTGAGACCACTTTCAATGCAAGTATATTCCATCTAAATATGGGGGGAAAAAAACACTGGAACTGAAAAACATTTTAAATAGTAAATAAAAGCATAAGAGTTCAAATGGACTCGGTGTCAAATGTTTCTCAACTTTCTCTGCTTTTCAACGACACTGAAGGGGAGCATCCATTTAACAGATGCTGTCTGAATTAAATTGATTGCACTCATTTTATTATGCAATTAGTTAATTTGTCACTAATTTTGACAGGCTTATGCATCTGTTTGGTTTTCAGGAATGGAGTAGAAGTGTTTCTTCCCCTCTGAAGCTTTTGGTTAGTGTCTCCTAATAACTCCATTGGACTTTATGTTGACTCTGAAACATGAAAATCAGCCTGGTTTCAACGTATAAACCAGCAGTGTGTGTGTTTCACTACTTTGATGGTGGCCAGAACATGGCCTACTGCTGTCACATTCCTTGTGTTAAGCCACTGTCTCACCTGGAGTCAGGAGGAAAAAGGGACTGGATTGTTGCTCAGTGGCCAAAGTCCTGCCTTAAATGAGCGGAAGGGTGTTTTCACACCTGATAGTCTCGTAGACTCGGCTCAGTTGGGGAGCAGAATTTGCTTTTACACTGCAACTTTGCCCAACAAAACGAAAATTTTAAAAAAATCAGTTTGCGCTGCACCAAGAACTAATGAAACCACACAAAAACCTCTGAATGAGACACAAGCGTTATTTCCTTCTTTATAAAATATAAACAAAAATGGAGTAGCGTCAAATTTAGGCAGTTGTAGGATTTCTTTCCTGTCTTTGGTAAAAGACCATGAGCCACTTTTTCCACTAGCGCTAGACTCGCTTATTAGTTTTCGTCGTATTTACCCAGAATGTCCTACACTATAGTTTGCTTCCTGCTTTTGGAGCAGCATCCGGTCCGCTTGCATCCATTCACATGTGCATTCAATCCGTCGTCAGAGTTCACTTCAACCGAACCAAAACCTAGATTATTAGGCCGACCAGAGTTTCTTCATATCGCTGTCAATACTACAACAAACGGATACAAAAATTCACACGAATGAAGTACCATCAACGAAATGAGCGAATATTCTGTTTTATAGTTTGATTAATCTTATGCAGCCTCATATTCAGACTTTCTGAGACACTGAAGTTTGGGTTTCTTATTTGTTCTAAGCCTACATTACTAATAACATGATAAATTAATTCATGAGTTTCACCATCTTAGCTAAACTAGTGAAATAAATTACATTTTCAATATTATTGTCATATGTTGAGATGTACTTGTAATTCCTGCTGCAATCCTTAAATTAGCCATCGCATGTGAGTCTTTTAACACTGCTAATCATAAAATGTCTATTTTAATATTGGAAATGGGACCATTTTATGGTCCAAATGTCCTTTTGTAAAAAGTATAAATTCCCTCATTAATGACAATCTCAAGGCTGCACTGCTCTTTGGTTCATGTACCTGCAGTCGTATTTCAGACCATGTGAATGAGGCTCAATATGACAAACTATTAATTTACATTGAAATTTTACTGCCAAGTTTCTGTCTTCAGAAACTTCATTATTTTCTGTTATTGGGTTTGGACACGGCTCGTCTTAACTGTTCATTGAACTTGATTGCCGATGCAAAATCTTACCCGTCTGAGGCAGAGAAATTTATTTTTGCACAACCACAGTAGCAGAGTATAGTTGCTTTATTAAATATTTGTCATGATTTTGGTTTGTCTTGTTTTTTTGTTCTAGGTTTTGTATTATCAAATATTCTAAAAAAAAAAAAAAATATGTAGCAATGCCCCCGTTTTCTGTCTTTTTGTTATTTTTAGAAACTGATTGTGTGTATTTATCTGACTTTCCTGTTTCGTATCTGGACCTGGTATTTGGTTTTAGGCATACACCTCCCATGGGCCCACGGTGGTCATGCCAACATGGTTCTGCTCAAGGAAATTGTTCATGAAAGTCGGATTGTTTGACGAAGGAGGCAAGGTGAGATTTAACTCTCAAACCATTCCTTAAGCTTGTTTGTTTGACACACATTTTTTTTCCAACAATGTTTGGATTGTTGTTTACATTTTCTCTCAGCGGTGAGTTTTCACTGGATTAGATCCAGATAAAGGAGAGAAAAGAACAAGCAGATAAAGACAAAAAAATATTTTTCGCTTATCTCTTAAAACAGTTTGTTGTATACATTTTTTTTTCTTTATGCCTGCAATAGTCATTGTTAGCAAATTAAACCTGTGGAGCAGCAGCAGTTCCTCTTGATAGTTCTCAGTATAAGTGGTCTGTCCCTACCAGACCTTTGGTAATTTAGCTAATTAACCACTGAAGGTCACTCTCAGACCATATAAGGAGTCATTGAACGTTCAGTCCAATATGGTCAGATGATCATTAATAACAGAAAAATGAGGGAAACACCAAAACACAAAGTGACTTCTGTCTTTACACAGTGGATGTTTCACAAAATGGGCTTTTTGCTTCACACATGGATACATGTACAAAGTCTATTATCTATTATCTCCATCGCTTTTAGATGTGTTGAAAGTGAAACGGGCCTTACGACTGACAGAACATGCTGCATCTTTACTGACAGAGATCCAATCTCTCTGTTTTCTCTCCAGGGAGTCCCGGAGGATCTGCTCTTCTTCTACCAGTTCCTTCGTCAGGGAGGCTCTCCGCTCAGGGTGGACCAGCGCCTGCTGGTTTATCGGTACCACGAGGCGGCTGCTACTCATTCCGTGACCGAGTGAGTCTCACCGTTCCCCCTCCTTCCCACTGAGTTTCTCTCACACGCACATACTTGGTCACAGTGTTGATCCTCCACCTACACCCAGCTGCCCACTGCCATCCCTGAGTTTCCCAGGGCTCTCGCATGCACTCACACACCAACCCAAATACTCCCGCTGACGCGCACTCGTGAGACGTTTTTCAGACTTTTCAGATTTTATGACAATGTCTTTGGAATTCCAGTCGCTTTCCCAGCATTCAGATCAGGAATTTTGGCCTTCTCTTCCTGGAATGTTAACCATCCGTTCAGCGCTGCTCGTAGAAAATCATATTTTGGTGTGAACAGAAGTGCTTAGGATGCTGTCTGTCAGGCTCACAGCGGCCTGAGCTCCACCCTGTGGAGTCTGCAGATGTCCGTGCATGCGAGTGTGCCTTAAAATGTAAAATGAAAGTTGAAATGAACTTCCTTTTATATCCCTCCTTCCTTCCCAAGTCTAATATATCTGCCTGGTGTTGATGCACATCCTTCTCTGTGTTTTTCATCGTCAGTCTCTTTTGGGAGGTCTATTTCAGGCAAGTCTACTTTCCGCTGCCCCCCCAGCCCCCCCTCCACTCTTGACACCCCGTCCCACACACTGCTTACCTACTTCCTCAAGTCAGCCAAATGAAACCACAGCCCTATTCCTGTCTGCCAAACAGTGCAGCTGACCTTACGTAAGGCGAAAAGTTTTTATTTTTTATTTTAAAGGATAATGTCAGATAGTATCTAAAGTAAAAGGCTTTTATTTTTGGTCTTTGAAAGTGAGTGGCAGCTGTGTGTTTGGTAAAACCTTCCCATATTGCTGCCATGTATTGCAGTCAATGGCTGTAAGGAAAGAAGCAAAGAAAACCTCTTGAGACCACCCAGGCTCTCTGATGGGTTTTGTTTGTCATATGAGGCCCGCTGGTACGCGCAGTAACAAGCTTCACCGCGGAAAAATTAGGAGAAAGCGCTTCGGTCGAATGTGTGTGGATAATTGCTCAATTTCAGCAAAGGTGTAAGAAGCACAAATACTAGTTTTCTTTCTGCCTACTGTCATCAAATGTTGCATGTATGTAGCGATTCAGCGCACTTGAAGACCAGCAACTGTCTTTAGTCTGATATAAATGCAGTCAGTCATCACTGTGGTGTAAACACCTTCTGCTGTTATGGTTTCAGTTCTGTGTGAACGCTAGCAATTAGATAACATTTAGGGCTTATTCTGAGTTACAGAAAACAAAGCATCAGATGACAAGTCAAAGTATGTCCTTAGTTCTTCTTAAAAGGACTTTATTGACTTTTTTAAGCTTTATATTATGTTATAAGGTTATTCTCTCTTCAAAAACATCTGTGGAGTTTTGCTTTGATTCTTTCATTTATGTTTGACAAATCCTTCAATCACCAGTGGCATAAACGCTTGGTCTCATCGGGTGCCCCCTTTTTCACGGAGCTCCTCTAGACTAGTGGTAGCAGCAATTAGCAAACGCCTGGTGGAATTGCGCATCTGTGGAACTACTTCTCCATGAAATGCTCCCGAAAACATTGTTAAAGGCGAAATGGAGAAAGATGAGAGGACTGGTTGGAAAGAGGTGGAGTTTCTTAAAGAAATAGAGACCCAATTTCAACTGTGATGTGGAAATGTCTTTTAAGTTATATTTGAAATATACAGCATTTTCATAACAACTGCAGAAGAGATGCACCAATCCAATATTAATATCTGCATCTGTCCCGATATTGGAAACATTTCTAGGTTGGGTTTTGGTGACTATGTGCCAGATCCATAAGGGCAGATCTGTTAAGTCTAATTCTGTGTTTCGTGCTCTGAACCACAGCATGCTGTATTTATTTTACTATGTTTCCTATTTCCACTTTGTAAACCATTTAAATAATAAAGAAACTGTTGGTTCCAGTTTCTTTATTATTTGATTTACTTTGGATGTTATACTCCTAATTGCACTGACTACACAAATTAATGTTAAGTCAGTTTTTGACCAAGCTTCTGGAGCTATTGCTGTATTTAGAGTCAATACATTTAAGTCTGTGTTTAAACAATGAAACATTTTAAGTCAGTTCAGCGCTGTTTGTCTGTATTGGATTGATACAAAAACCTCAAATATCGGGGTCAAAAGTAGAAAAGGGGAATTGCTGCATCCCTAAGCTGAAGGTAACATAGTGACTTGATTTTACTATAAAATATCGCCATCCATGAGAATTGGCTAGTCAAAGTCAAAACCTAAAGCCACACTCATCCACATTGCAAGAATTCAAAACCAGTGTTCATAGATGCTCTTCATCTAACTGAACTATGTAAAAAGAAATGAATTTGTACTAATTGATCTAACAAAGTTATGAAAGTTTGAACTGGGAAAAGGCGCCGTGATTACGACCACATTTATCTTTTCTTTACAATCAGGGAGACGATCTGGAAGCTGCGCGTTGACTTTCTGCAGGAGAGAGTCCTGAGCCAGTGGGAAAGCTTCACCATCTGGAATGCCGGGAAGCAGGGGAGGAAGCTCTACCGAAGCCTGAGCCTGATCAATCAGAAGAAGGTGATGTGGGACACTAATCGAGTAATTTATCGATTTATTTTTGTTCAGTTTTTGATGCTCTGTTGACACACTTCGACATTCACTGGTTTTCTTTAGGTCAAAGCGTTCTGCGACGTGGATGAAAATAAAATTCGGAAGCGATTCTACACACATGAGGAATCCAAGGTGAGATCACCATGGAAAGAAAAGAAAAATCCACAAGCTCTTTGATTCTTAACATTTACCAACACGTATAAACTGTTTAATGTTTGCGGACGTTTCTGTTGATATGCCTCCAGGAAAGACCAAAGCCTACGGTCCCCATCCTGCACTACAAAGAGGCCGCGGGCCCCTTCATTATCTGCGTTAAACTGGTGAGGCGAGATCGTGTTTGCGTGTTGTATGCTTGTTGTTTCTGACCGCACGTCTCTCCGGCCCGTTTTCCAGCCTAACGACATAATGATCCGGGGCGTGTGCCTTGCACAGGATGTGAAACGTACAAACACACGGCGAGGCTGTCAGGAAACGGGAAGATCTTTTGATCATGAGATGCTTATGCTAACATCTCATGCTTTAAATCACGCTACATAGTAGGAAGAGTTTTGATTATTAAAGCTGAAGAATTTTCTTGAGATGCTGATTTTTCAGCTTTTTTCACAAAGCTGCTCTTTTCATTACTGACAAAGATTTAGATTGAGATCTGAAGACCAGTTAGAAGCGGTCTTCTAATTGCTCAATTATGGAACTTAAGAGAGGTAATCAAACTCAGAATCACAGACGTCTGGACTCGATCTAAGACGTAAATATCTTTGTCAAACTGTTGTGTTGTGTTTAATACAAAAAGCGACACAAAGCGAAGCTGCTGAACAGCGTCACAGCGTTTCGCCTCTGTTCCGTGTTCGTCGTTTGATCCTCCGTCTGTTGTTTGTGTCAGGCTGAGCTTCATGTTTGCTGCGGTTGCGTTCGCAGGACATGACAGGAGGCGTCCTGGAGGAAAACCTCAACTCGTTGCAGCTGAAGGAAGGAACAGATTACTACCATTTCAACTGACGGCTGAACGTGCTGCAGGAGGCCACAGGAGCCCTGCAGGTTAAACAGACAGGAACGCACAAGACTGATTTATGAAAACATAAACACAAACTCCGAGTTAGGGTGTTTATAACAGCGAGACGAAGTGAGAGCAGCAGCACTGGATTAAAGGACAAAAACACAACAGGAATGGGGAAGTTTATATTGTGTAATAAAAAGGGCCTTTTCTGTGTAAAAAGGTAACGAATTTTGTGTCCTGATAGTTTAACTTGGCGAGGTTAACACCTCTGGTTTGATTCTCTGCTTCTCTCTTTTTCCACCGTTTCAAATTCGTTACGTTTGGCTGTTTCTGTGGAGATTTTACAGTAAATTCCTCTTTTCAGGGAAACATACTTTAACGTTTTGTCTTCTCTGGTTAAGCGGAATCTGAGTGAAAGTGTAAAAGTGAAACAGGTTTCATAAGGTACATGAAAAAATGCTTGATAAAAGTGAAACTGCACAGGAACCAAGCAGCCTCTGCAGAGTACTGACTCGAGTTGTTGATGGTGTAGAAAAGATTGATTTATTGTTTATGGAAGTAACTACAGGGACCTCTCAATAACTAAAAACTTAATCACAAAGTTGATTTCTCTAATTTAGTTCATCTTTGTTAAATACTTTGTGGCGGATAAAATCCAGCGGACGATGCGACAAATCATCGCTGACTGTGGAAACGTCACACTGGACATCCAACAACGTGGCTCTGTGTCTCTCCACTCTTCCTCCAGACTTTGTGACCTCGATTTCCAACTTAAATGCAAACTTTACTTTGAAAACTGGACTTTGAACACTGGGGCAGCAGTTTTCTCTGAACCAGATGAGATTCTGCTGATGTTTCTTGTTTAAAGGTGGTTTACCAAAAGGAATGGGGCTCAGAATTCATATTGTTTTTGGGCCACTTTTTCCTCCCACTGAACTTTCCGTTAATATGCAGCATCATTAGAAATGAACTTCAGTGACTTAACCTTTTCTAGCGCATCCCGGACAACAGTCCAGTCAGCAGTCAAGAGCATTAGTTTTATGTTAGATTCTAATTTTCTGTTAAATTAAATTCTAGGTTATTATTGAAATGTATTGCTCCGATTTTAGTTTTTTTTTTTTTTTTTTTTTTTTTTTTTACAAATTTCACTTTCTTGAATTATAAGTGGATTTTATGATTAAATTCTAATTTATTCAGATTCACGTGTAAAAACTATATATTTTTTGTCCAGGAGGACAAATATTTTGGGTCAATCTTCCTCTTAATATGTGTCTTTTCAGAGGTAGCCGATAACCTCAGCGTCATTAACAACCATTTATAAATCTGTTTCTAATGCCCAGCTTGGATTCACAAGTTGAATACCGAAGCCCAACACATGTTCTAAAGTTAAAGGAAGTCTCATCACACAATGTGCAGCTTCTCGGGGGTGGGATGTGTTTATGACCGGATTTCGAAACAAGTCCTTTGTCTGATGCAACCATGTAAAATCCGATCCACTCATGCACATCTGCTCCAAATGAACAAAGATGGATTTTGCTCAATTCTGGTTTTCTTTCTCTGCCTCTCTTATGACATCTCAAGAACAATAACCTTTTTAAGAGGGCACAGTTGTCACACAATAAATGGTTTGTTTTGCCCCACAGAAAGAAGAGATTTCTTTCTTTTTTTTTTCACCCAAAGGTAAACAGATCTTCCCCTTCGAATTCTCCCCCATGTTTTTCTGGGTCAGCAGCATGGTGAGAGTTACTGTAAATCTGCCCACAGGAGTTTAAAGAGAAGTCACAATCATGGTTAAAAAAGACGATGGAGTCCAGTTTTTCTAATCTTTCTTTTTTTTTTTTTATACTTACCTATACCCAAATGAAATCCAGATGAAAGACAAACTGTTGTAAAAAGAAAACCACGAGAAGTGAAACCATTGAATAAGATGAACTGTTTGGCCTGCAGGCCAAACAGTATACTTCAAACATCTCCCATTGGCAAGGTATTGTCAATGGGAGATAAACAACACCCTTTGTGCTTCTTAATGAGAAAATCTGCATTTAGTTCCTACTGTAATCATGTTTTGACATTAGTTATTATCAAGTTAAATGTTTCTTTTTAATTTGATTTGTCAAACATAAATGATGAGCCGTTTTTAAGTAAAAGAAGAACCGTTTTTTTGTCTAAGTGCTTTACTCACTCGGCCCTCATGATGAATCACTTGGTGGACGATCAGAGCGAGCCCTAATGGAGAATCTATGAAAGAGACTCAAAGAGCGTAAACAGAGTTTTGCTAAGTGTTTACACTCCGTCTCCCTGCAGACATCAGGGCCGATAACCAAACCCACCAGGCACAATGGATGACCCTGACTCTGGGGCCTGCGTGCCCTCACCGGTCAAATAAACCCACAAGTGTCTGTAGGATTAAAAAAAGACACGCAGCTGCAAGATCTCTGTGCGGTTCTGCTGATAAAGGCAGATAAGAGCTGCGAGTGTCGGGAGTGGAGAGGTCGCGGGGGTCCGACAGCGGGGGCTTTTTCATCCACCAGAAACGGTGCCGCATTCCTTTGTTTCGGCGTCTCTTCACGGGCAAGGCGCTTTTGCGCAAGTAAAGAGGAGTGGGTGAAACCAGGAAGCTTCCACTGCCCACTTCCTGTTATTAATTTTAGCGCCACTTCAACCGAACGAATAAAAATGATGCTGCTGTGTCGTGCAAATATGTTTAGAAAACTCACCGATTCCGCTGAACAACAGGTTTAGCTTGACAGATTGAGATCTTGACACTTTTTTTGTTTTTGTATCTGCTGAAAGTCAAACCTGCTGTTATGATCTCCATAAATAGACCCTCTCAGTCATCTCTGTCTGCTTCAGAAAATATGGAGGGAAAATTCAGTCAGTATGTTTTGTGTATTCACTATAAAAGGTTACAAAACCAAACATTTATTAGCCTAATTTACCTTCCTAAGTTTTCTGGAGTCATGCAGCGCCTTTCTGCTGGTGTCTTCTATCGCTAAACCTGTGACTGTCAGGTTCACATTAAGTTTGAGCTCATTTCTTTGCCAGGTTTCCAGTCAGAATTAAGCAGCATAACTTTCTGTTTTGTTGTTGTCGCACATTTCCTTTTGGATCGCTACGCTGCTGATAAACCTAAAATCTTCATATGGAAGGAAGGCTCTGGCTCGAGCAGCATCAGACGTCTTGTTATCTTCTGACGCTGCTCCAGGCAACCGAGCAGCCCGCAGCATGATGCAACCTCTATTCTGTGGGCTGGGTGTACTTAAAATGACTAAGGTCGAAACATTTCTCTGTATTTCTTTGTAATGTCTTTAATTTGCTGAGCCTACGCAGTTCATGGACCAGTCAAGAGGAAGTCTTTTTTCTTTTCTTTTTTTTTTATCTCTGAAGTGAATTTAACTCAAACACTTTCATTTCAGTATGATACATTATAATAGATTTTGATCTACACTTCACCACTTCTCCATAAATGCTTCCCACTTTAAGCATTACATCAATGTGGTGAAATTCAAATGTTGTTACCGGTGAAAGGAATAACTCAAGTGTTTAGAAGTGGGGTTGTCTTGATAGCAGTAAGTAATCAGTATCTTCCTAGCAGTGGCTAACTCTGTTAGCATCTTCACTGTGATACTACAGAGCCTAATTTTTTCAAAGTCAAGCCACCAGAGCGGTACCAAGACATGAGCAGACGTCCGCCATGTTGAAACCAGTGTAATCTCTTCATACTGTGACAATCAACAACAAGTTGTTGATCAACCTAAAGTTTGCGCAGAGGCGCAGAGGTGGAGGGACTGCAATCTTTCTGGCAGATAGAGGTGACCGAATACGATTTCTCTCACTTTCACTACCTCCATCTGTGTATGCAGGGAAGTATGAAGCGGTGTACTTCCTGATGAAACGTCCTTTCTTCTCCTTCAACAGCCAACCATCACTGCTCCTGAGCAATGGTCCGTTAAAGAGCCCGTGAAGTTTCTCAGCTGCCCACTGTGGATAAATTAAGATTTCTTACAAAGAACGAGGAAATCAAAGGTCTCGGGCTGAAATAAGAGATAGAGGAATGTGAGTGCGGCGGGGCTTCGAGGGGGGGGGGGCAGCGTGAGGACAGACAGGGAGCGTTCCTCCTGTCAGGCTGCTTGAGAAGAGCCAGGTGACTGCAGGCGGATGGGGGGGGGGGGGAAGGGGGCAGGAGGTCAGAGGCTGCGCAGCTCTGGAAATACTTCAGGTGGTAAAAGGAGCGTCTGAGGTCGAAAGCGTCGCGGCAGCGGACCCGTGCGGTGGTGAGGCGATTGGATCAGGGCCCCGGCTTTAGCCTCTGGTGGTGAAAGTGTTTTTAATTTCAGAGTTTCAAAAGAGGAAGAGGTTGGCATTACAAATTCTAGTGGAATTTGGTTTCCTCTTACTACTGAACGCAGCTCGGCTGATAGGTTTCAGGCCACGCTCTCTGTTATGAATAGAATGCTTTACAACATGTCTGCCGGATAAAAGAGTTCACAAAAAACTACTTAAAGTGCAATTTGAATATTAAAATAGAAGGGTGGAATAAAACATGACATGCACAATGGCACAGATTAGAGCAAAACCTCGAAAATGGATTTGAATTATTTTTGCATAATTAGGGATAATTAGACTGTGTTTATTTATTTTTTAAAAAGCTGGGCCCTTTTGATGATTCTTTGTTTTCTTGTGCCTTTACTTACACTGGGACGCGAAGCCAGCTCTAATCCCTGCAACACTTTGGCAGAAATGTGTGTGTGTGTGTGTGTGTGTGTGTGTGTGTGTGTGTGTGTGTGTGTGTGTGTGTGTGTGTGTGTGTGTGGTGTGTGTGTGTGTGTGTGTGTGTGTGTGTGTGTGTGTGTGTGTGTGTGTGTCTGTTGATGGACTGGAGAGAGAGGGGGGTGAGTGTTTGGTGGAGGACCTCGCTTAAGCATTTCTCTAAATGCGCTGCACAACTTTGGCAGTCGAGGGGAATGTGACGACGGAGTATCATGCTCCCCCCTCAGAGTGTTTTCTCATGGGAAAACCGCTCAGGATGCAAACAGGGACTTAGGCCATACGTGTGACTTTTTTTTTTTTGTCTCTTCAGCTCTATTTAGACTTTTATTTATTATTTTTCCAGGAAGCCTAGGTTGTGGAGCTCACGGAGCAGAGCTATAATAAGACCGGTAGAGCAATGTGAGCCACAGAGTTGCCAGTAAAACAGAGTGTAAACGATAATGTGACACATTCAGAGCTATGTGCACTCAAGGGATTAAACCTAAATCAGTGGTTAACAACATCAGTCAAAATGCCATGGCATAATTTATTTTAATAACGATAATAGCTGCTATTTTCTTCCTAACAAGACATTGTTATTGTTCCTTTCTGTCACCGTTTTCTCAGCCAATGAAGCATTCATTAACATTGAAATGAAAGTTCAGCAAAAAAAAAAAAAAAGATTTTGTTTGTGTTTGGTATTTTCTAAGCTTCAGATCTCCTGATGTATTCCACGTTTATTTATATTGAATTTGGACAATTTAAAATGCAGCTGTGAATGCATTACAAGAGTAATAAGTGCCTTACCCATCTGTTCAATTGTTACACAGATACAAACATCTTCAGTTTGATGTGTTTAAATTGCTAAAACGGCTGTTCGCCTCCCTAAGAAGCAACAAAACTTTGTTGAATCACAATTCAGTGAAATATGCCTTTTATCGAGCCGCTTTTGATTTTATGCCCAGATGCAAATTCAGAATTGAGAGGGAGCTGCAATGCAGGATAAGCAGCCACAAGGTTCACACGTGGTTACTGTCATCTGCTGCAGTTTTGACTGGGACGTCTCATAACTTTACCCCCTGAGGCCCTGGAATAACACTCTGTTCTGCTGTTGATTCTCAGCGCCACACTTTTGTTGTTTATGTTGCAAATGAAGGCGCGACTTGGTGAATTGGCAATTCATTTTAAAAAAAGTTTGTTTCTGAAATTCACTTTAAAACTGTAAATCACGTCTGTCTTCTGTTCTGTCGGCCATACATGACTTGCGCGACATTGAGGAAGGTTTTCTCACTGAAAGGTGTTGCGGTTTACCAGTCATTGAGTACGCTCACTTCAGCATGTGCAATACTGGGTTGATGCTTCTGCTACTCCTGGGAGT